TAATTCTTGCAACCCCACCATCTACCACTATTTCCACCACCACCACCACATACCGCCACCACACCCGTCTCCTCCACCTCTTGACCCAATGTACATCCATGTCTCAGCTCAAACAAATCCACGCCCAAACCCTCCGTACCACATCGACCCACCACCCAGACACCGCCTTTTTGTACAGCCGAGTCTTTCATTTCTCTTCCTTACATGACCTCAACTACACTTTTCGACTCTTCCACCAAATTGAATACCCTAATTCTTTTATGTTGAACACTCTAATCAGAGCTTGTGCACATAGTAATGACCAGAAAGAACGAGCCATTACACTTTTTCATGCAATGTTAAGCGAAGGAAGCGTTTTGCCTGATAAGCACACATTTCCCTTTGTTCTTAAGGCATGTGCTTACTTGTTTGCCATATCAGAAGGAACACAAGTACATCCCCATGTTTTGAAACATGGGTTGGGTGGAGATGTTTATATTAATAACAGTTTGATTCATTTCTATGCTTCGTGTGGGTGTTTGGAATACGCAAAAGATGTATTTGAGAATATGCCCGAAAGAAGTGTGGTTTCATGGAATGCAATGATTGATGCATTTGTTCAATCGGGAGATTATGATGATGCGTTAAGAATGTTTATTGAGATGCAGAGATTATTTGAACCGGATGGATATACGTTGCAGAGTGTTATAGGTGCTTGTGCTGGGTTGGGGGCTTTGTCTTTGGGGATGTGGGCTCATGCTTATGTTTTGAGAAAGTGTGATCCTAACGTGGGTAGTGATGTTTTAGTGAACAACTCTTTGGTGGATATGTATTGCAAATGTGGGTCATTGGGAATTGCTAGGCAGGTTTTTGCGAGGATGCGAAAACCTGATGTGAATTCATGGAATTCAATCATTTTAGGATTTGCCATGCACGGGCAAGGTGAGGCAGCATTTGAGTATTTTAATTGCATGGTTAATGAAAAAGTAATGCCCAATTCTGTTACATTTGTTGGTGTGTTAAGTGCATGTAATCATAGAGGTTTGGTTGGTGAGGGTCAGAAGTATTTTGATATGATGATCACTGAATACAAGATTAGACCAGTATTGGAGCATTATGGCTGCTTGGTTGATCTCCATGCTCGAGCTGGGCTAATTGAGGAAGCACTCGATATTGTGTCCAACATGCCAATGAAACCTGATGCGGCTATCTGGAGGAGTCTTCTTGATGCTTGCTGCAAGATGAATGCTGGAGTGGAGCTAAGTGAAGGAGTGGCCCGACAGATAATTGAGTTGGAAGGGGATGATTGTAGCGGTGTTTATGTGCTTTTGTCCAGAGTCTATGCTTCAGCTGCTCGGTGGAATGAGGTTGGGTTGGTTAGAAAATTAATGACCAATAGGGGTGTTAAAAAAGAGCCTGGGTGTTCTACAATGGAGATAGATGGTATCATCCATGAATTTTTTGCTGGGGACGTGTCGCATCCTCAAACCAAAGAAATTTACAATTTTTTGGATGTGATTGAAGAAAGATTACAATTTGTGGGGTATGTTCCTGACTTTTCCCGAGCAGATACAGTTGATAAACTTGATAGTGGAAAACAATATTCACTTAGGCTGCATAGTGAGAGACTTGCAATTGCTTTTGGTCTCTTAAACCTCAAACCAGGGGTGCCAATTCGTATATTGAAAAATCTCCGAGTATGCAGCGACTGTCACAATGTGACCAAATTAATTTCCAGAATCTTTAATGTGGAGATTATTGTAAGAGATCGTGTTCGGTTCCATCATTTTGTAAATGGCTCTTGTTCCTGCATGGACTATTGGTGACTATTTGCTGTTGTTAGCTGTGTCAAGTAGTCTTTATGGTTTATGAACAAAAAGAAAAGACTAAAACTGCTATGTAAATGAAATCATACGTTGGGATAAATGCTTACTATATTCTTTTCTCTGGTAATTTTGTTCTTTCAAATGTAATGTTTTGAGTTGGAGAAGGGTCACTGCATACCCTAGCGATTCTTCCTTTTTGACATTTACTAATGGTCCACTGGGATACAAATAGTTGGGTGGAGGCTGTAACACACCATGGTGCTCAGATTTCAGTGATTTTGTTCACATTTACAAGGAAAATCCCGGATTTCAGTGATTAGAGTTTGCTTTCTGATCGAAAGAACCTTGTACATTTTTTTACTGGTGGCGTCAAAATGCTCATATGAAGACCAAAGGAGTTCTACAATTGGACTGTGATGAGGAGCTACTGTGTTGTAACTAATCCGTCAAGAACACTCCTCCGCGGGGGAGTTGTGCCTTCTGATCTTATAAGATGGAGTGTAAACCAGTAGATGAAAGCCAAAATGCTAGAAGCCAGGTTGTCTGCAGTCGGATGGAATTCCATAACCAGCTACGTTCAGGGAAGGGATACGTAATGTGGGGAGTTGAAGGAACTATAGTAGCTCTCTGATCGCTTGATGCACGTTGTTGAAGAGATGATAATGTTGCTTCGATTCTAGTTTCCGAATGTTTCTGTTGTTTTTCACAAAATGCATCTTCAACACACTAGAATCTGATGCTGCACAAGGACATTTGCAGATGGTCAAAGGCAGGCATTTACTTATATAGCTATCTATCTTGGAGTTGTCGATAAAGGTAGAATGTCTGGTTGAAGGTCCAGTACAGTAAATAGCGTGTTTGTTTTTGCTCCCAACCGTTCTTGCTTTCCTAACTGGAAGGGAAGTCAATTAACTGCAAAAGCATGAAAAAAATAGCAGAGGGAAACACTAGGGTTTGGACTAGGCTCTTCTAGCCCTAGGTTGGACCAGGCCTAGACTGGCATATGGTTTATTATTGCTCAGGGTTGGCCCAAACACGCATTCAGACGGAATTCTAAACACCAAATTGGCCACGAAATTCGTCGCAAAAAGTTTGGGGATGAACGTTCGACGCTAAAAAGCTTTCCTCTTGTATTGACTAATAAGCAACATTTTAAGCTTGGCAACAACATTGCTTCCGCAGCTTGACAAAATAGTCAGATTCATCAATTCAATGCTCAGTTCTCAATCTTCGATTTCGAATGACAACAGGAAAATAAAGAGACAACAAATAAAATTTTCCGACAACAAAGAGCATATTACAAAAGTTATATATCTTGATTTGAAGTAGTTAATTTTTGTAGGGATCGATCCCAAGTTTTTAGTTTTAATCTTAATCAACCGTATTGAGTTGTATCTTTACAGTTTGAATCTTAATTTCATGATTGTTGAAAAGTAAGTTCTCGTATTGTAATCTTTACCCTCAAGCATACCTGTCCATAGAAGACAATATTTGTGTTATCCTTAAAGCAATAGAATTCCAATAATCATCTCTGAAATTGTGTCCCCCTTCAATTTTAGATTCTATATTTTGGTACAATAGTAATATTGCTATATTGTTACTCGAAAGTTACAGGTTCAAATTGCAGAAAGCGTCTCTCAGTTTGTAAGGGCATCTCCAACCCACTCTCTATTTCTTCTCTTTTAACTGCTTTAGCTAGTCAAATACAAAAAATTCTCTCCAACTCATTTTCTATTCCACTCTCTATTTCCTAGTTAACCAAAATGGTGAGCCATTTGAACTCTCTAAATTCTCTCTTTACCTTTTTTTTCTCTCTATCTCTCTTTATATATATGTTTTACTTCTTTTCAATTATTAGAAGTTAGTGAAAATTGGGTGTAGTGAAAGTTGAGAGTGAATTTATAAAAATGGTTAGCTAAAGTAGTGAATGTAATATTTAAAATATATTTTGAATCTTTATTTTAAAAAGAAAGGTTGGAGATGCTTTAAGGAATAAGATTGCGTACATTTAACCCTTCCCAAATCTCGCAATGACGAAAGCCTCATACGTACACTTGTTTTTTTATTTGAGAATAGCATAGATGACGTGGTTTAGAAAGGTAGCAGAATTTAGAGATCAACTTGTGATATGGGGTCAAAAGATTTGATTGAGAATTATATTGAATCCAAAAGTTCAAGGACATTTACTATTCCTTACTGTAGTGATGACTTCTTGAGTATTTACATTTAAACAAATACTTTAAACTCAAGAATGAACGAAATAAGATCCAGTATCTATATAATAAAGTACAAAATCAATGATATTGTATGACTAGTGATGACAGTGGGTTAACTACAAAACTCAAATTTATCAAGCACATCGCACATAATTCACCCAGCAACGTAGAATTGAGTCAGCACAAACTACTTCCCATGAACCCAAAACATTTTTGTTTGTCCCGACCAAAATGATGTGGGATTGCAGAGGATTTCTCTCGTCACTCTCGCCTACTTATCCTCAACGTTTTTAATATTGTTCATAATATTTTGACCCTGTATAGTACAACATTTTGTTTTTTGAACTAGACAAAGCGACTTTAGAATGAATAGAATAATAAAAGTACAAAGCTCAAATTTACCACGTGATATAAGTAGGAGTGTTAAAATATTACACGATTCGTTAATATGATATGAAATTAGAAGGTTTGAATCTTTCTTAAACTATCTATTTCGTAAACGAATGGACCCGAAATGACGCGATTAATAACCGAAATAGGTATGAATGAAACCAATCAAAAAAAAATATGCGATACAACTTGTGTATATTCCGGTTATACCTAATACATATACGATATGAACTTGATATAACATGGTTCATTAGACACGAATTAATAAAAGAATCAAATATGAGTAAAATATTTTTTGACACGAATCCGATAAGACTTAACACAAATTTGTGTTATCTGACACGATTGACTAGCTTAGATATAAGATTGCGTCACGGGATGAGTCACGGGATTCATGTCGCTCTTAAACTATATTATCACACCACTTCAAGGGGTGCTTGTGCTTCTATTTTTCCATCAGGGAATCGAATCGTATTCCTTTATTCCCTTCCCTCTTACTGCCATCAACCTATAAAAACAAAAAGCTCCCCTTCCAAAGATCAAATTGAGAAGAGAAGATTGGAGCTAGGCTGTAGCCAATGTCTCTGCCATGCAAAAGTCCGATGGATCATCGTCTAAGAAGTCTGAAGTTATTGCATTCCCTTCTTTAGCCATGTGGAAGATCCATTTTGAAAGCTTCCAAACAAGCTGCCAAAGCTGGTTAAACAATAGCTTTATTGAGCCATGCCTATTGTCACGGTAAATATCTTATTTGAGGCCATCGTAGGGTTTTTAATAAGTCGTGTCGTATTGAGTTTATACCCAAATTTATTTAACTCATATGTCATATATTGTTGAATTTGTGTCGTATCATGTGAAAGTTGAGCATAAAATAGTATTTAGTAGGTGCCGAGTTCATGTCAACCTATTCATTAAATAGATCTAACAAGTTCATCTGTTTTTCTTCCAAATTTATTATTCATTAATTCTGTATCAATTTTGCGTAGGAATAACGAGTCATACCTAGAATTGAGAGCCTTAGGCCTAATTATTTCTTTTGGATTCAAGATGGTTGAGTTCATTAAGCTAAATTAACATGGATGGGTTGACTGTATACTATCTGTCCAGGATGAGTTGACTATATACTCTTTACTCTCTCTCTCTCTCTCTGGCCCAGCAAGTTGGAGTTGGAATGTAGGCAAATGCAACATGTATACTGCAAGGGGAAGAAGTTGAGAAAAGTGTGGAGTGTACAGAATTGCAATTATGAGGGTTACCAGTTTGGCAGTTTGTTTGGAAGCTTCAAGATGGATCTTCTTCCATATGGCTGATGAATGGAATGCAATAATCTGAGGCTTCTTTGACGTCGATCTATATAGTTGAGGGATTAAATTCAGATAATCAAAAGTTCAGAGACCATTTTTAAATATGAAGTATAGTTTAAGGACTAATCTTTTTATTTACCCGTCGAAGACGGTAAGATGGAATTTCAAAATGCCTTGGTGTATGTATGATTCGATATCTGTACGGAAAACTTCTTGTATATGGACCCTTGACTTTTAATTTGAAGAGATTTGGAGCTTGGTGACCCTTAAATTGATGTTAACTATTAGGGAGATAAGATAGGATAGGATCTCTTTGGATCCATCACTACCCACAATAGTTAGAGTAAGTATATATAATGACAAGTGAGTTTGTTTTAGGGTTGGTCTTCTGTAATCAATTACCAATAAATATCCATCGACAGAGGTGTTAGGATGTTTGGTCCGTGAGTGTAGGCGTGCCGAACCAAGTAATCCTCTGTGTCTTATTTTCTTTTACGTTTCCTACCTCTGATATCTCTAGGCTTCTAAATTTCTTCAAAGGCCTAAGAGAGACATCCTTTTACCACAGCTGCTTGATTTCTCTGTCTGTTTTATTCCCATTTTTGATCCATAACGACAGAATCGACAGCATTCAGTGACTCAATACCCCTTTACTCATGGATTACCTCTTGCAAACCTTGTCTAAATGTAACACTACTCATTCACCAAAGTACACAAGATTGAGCCTTCTCTTACTTGATAGTTTGTCCACTATCGTATACCAACATAAGCATCGGAAGGGATTACAACGGAAAATCTTCAGGATCGTTTTTGGTCTTGCAGATGCACAAGTGGTCTTATTGTTTTCACTATGGTTGCTCGGATTTTTTGCCTTGCATTAACACTTCCTACGCCATAAACAGTGACGGCTGTGAGACAGCATAGGAATTCTGAACAATAGGTAATTAGAAAGTCAAGAAATGTGGTCGTCTTTTGTCCCTAGAATGTCACTGTAAACCTCAGATTCCTGCAAAAATGAGAATGTTGAAGGGCATCATTAGCAATGGCATACGCTGGATCATTCTCTCGTTGTTGGATTATTCTGTACAGAATTTCCACAGACGATTCTAGTCTTCAAGTATATGTTTTATCTGATTTCTCTCCCCAGGCTGCCTGTTTGACTAATTTTCTGAGCCATTGCTGTCACAATGAGCTGAATATTTGGAAATTTGAACAATTAAAGAGTTGAAGATTTTCTGCAAAATGAAATCGATACAACCACAGCAACTAGGAATCTTCAAATGTGAATACCTGGTTTTACATACAGTACCAGCAGAGTGTGTGTGTGAGAGAGAGAGAGAGAGAGAAAGAGAGAGATCCAACAATTGAGTCTATAGAATTTAGAAGTTCACAAAAGGATTTACAGGGTAATCAGTTATACAAGTCCCTTGAGAAAAAAATAAACGGGTAGGGGATCAAACCAGAAACTTCTAACAAAATCAGTTGTGGAAGCCCTCCATGAGACTAGTAAGTGCAAGCCTCTCAATCTGATTCCTTGGTGTTTCCTGTAAGCATAACGAGCGCTAGAAGCAGGATGTCACAAAACATACAGCTTGTGGGGTTGTCGTGTAAGCAAAACTGAGATGTCTTCTCCATGCATGTCATAATGGTGTTACTGAATTCACAAATTCTGTAGCCACTGATACACCAAAAAAAAGAAGGTGAAGCTAAGCAAAAGAATTTTGGATAATGCAATCATGTCATACATATTAAAAACTGCGCACAACACAGAAAATGAATTGTAAATGAGTTGAGAGGTTCTTCAGTGATTGTTCTTCCAAGTTTAAAATACTTCAAGAAACACTACAACAAGGAGCACATTGAAGCTCACACAAGCCTAACCAAGCAGAAAGCTGGCAATCATTATGAAGCAGAAGGCAATTTATAAGATTAAAAAGAATTACTTCCAGCCTCCATCATCCTTGAAAAGCAACACAAATCAATACAAAAAATGATCTAATTACCAACCATTAGGTCACACAAAAATTAAACTGAACGATCAAATGCTTCTATCCATTTTGTTAGAGTATGTGTGGCTCATTTTTGCTGTGTGCATAATGGCAAGAAGGCAGATGCGGGAGTGGGTGGAGCGAAGCGGAGCTTGCGATGGCATCTGCCTTGCGGGATTTATATAAAGGGGACGCTGATTAATTGGGGGTGCGGGGGCAACGCCCCCGCGGTACGGTACAGGGATATTTTTATAAATACGTCCATATTAGGGTTATATAAATACTTAAGATGTAACTCTATTCTATAATGGAAAAGAACGGCCGCTTGCTCTCGTGGATGTAGGCACATTGCCGAACCACGTAAATCTCTGTGTGTTATTTTCTCCTGCTTTTTTAATTGTTTGATTCCTTACTATTCACCATAATTGCTGCACGATCACAACACATTTAATTAGGAATTCACGATCCTTTATCAATATGGCCAAAAGTGATCTATAGGTGATAAAAAACTGCGTAAGCATGCTCCTAAATTCCTAGATATGATCACTTGAATGCACAACGCCTACTATATTCCCCCAATTAGCACCCTTGTAATTTATACCCCAGGACAGTAGTGCATTCCATCACGCTTATCGGGTCTATGCTAGTTTGCTTAAAGATGCATACTGCTTCTTGTAAATTATTAATTGAAAAATATGGATGACACATGTAACCATCTAGGGTAAACTTGATTCACATCTCTCTTTTTCCAGGACATTTATCATATACGAATATATGAACTCCATTATACTTCTCTCCTCAAAGGTTAAGCTGCAAAACGAACAATGAACATGTCAAAAGCTGATAGAAAGATTAACCAAGTTTCCCCTCTATTAAACTCAGAAGGCCGAAATGCTGGGACCCCTAGTCATTAGATTGAATAATAACACCACCAGGGCCCAGATGTGACAGTACAATAGAGAACATAAAAAATAAAAAGCCTAAGTTACAAAGTAAATCTTTTTGTGCTTTGAAATTCTTCGTAAGAGGGTTTGTTCCTATTCTTTCCTATTTCTTGTAATAGCACTACACTTTCCTACCAATGACATTCAATTTCTTTAGCAACAAAAAGTTCAAAAACCCAGTAATAAGTTCATGTCTACAATATCATCATGCAGCATAATTGACCTGCTGCTATCATTCAAGTTTTTAAATTAATCACGATAACCACAAATGAATTGTCAATACAAATGCATCCCATGTAACACAACCAACACAAGTATCACAGAGACAACAAATTATCATAGAAGCTCAAAGCAAAAGCTCACCTCTTGAAGAAGATTGAACCACAACAACATGCATAGTCACATTATTCGGAGGAAGCTGCAATCGAAGGGGATAAAGCTTCCCATTCAATGGACTACGCGAGCACACAACAATGTTATCAAGCCCTGTTTCTTCCTCCAACCTCCTGGTCAATTCCTCAACCCCATTCCCCTTAAACGTAACACGAAGCCCTTCAACCCCCTCATCCACAACCCCAAATTCATCTGCAACATTATAATATATAGTCCTACCATCCCCCACTTTAGGCGGCGAATCAATAATAGAATCACCCAACTGCATTCAAAAAAGAACAACAAAAAATACAAAATCAAAACCCAAAATAACACAATCTGAACATTTCTACTGCGTTTGGCAGTATGAAGTTATGCCTTGGAATTAGAATGGAAATCTGTATCAGTCCCTATACTAAGAACTCATTTTTCTTCCCTCCAATTCGAATTCCAAAACATGGGTATGGACTTGATAGAGCTGCCAAACAGTAATCAAAACCCATAATTACACAACTAAATATTTATACTCTGTCAGCATGAAATTCATGCCCAGGAATTAGAATCGAAAGCTGCATTACTTCAAATTTTGAAAATTTGGGTTTTCTGTCCTCCAATTCAAATTCCAAAACATGGGTATGAATTTCATAGAGCTGCCAAACAACAAAGAAAATCTATAATCAGCAATTTTGGGAACTGAAATCAAACCTCGTATCTGGAAAAACTAGCAGACTTGGTAGAATGAGTTGAAGGAGAGCTTGATTCTGAGGCAAACGAATCTGAATGAGGAACCAATTTCGGCAAAGGGGACTGAACAAGAATTTCAACCACATCAACTTCCCAGAGGATCCAATCTTGAGTAGCAGTGCGGTGAGGAATATCATGGGTCACTGAGTTTCTCCACGGCGGTAGACCACCATTGGCACGGAGGAACTGGCCGTACCGAGTTTTAAGCCTCACACAATTACCTTCTTTGATGGGTTCCCACTCGACGGAAGAGTCGAGCCGGCTAGGAAGGGTCTGAATCACTTTCCGGCCAGTCATGCCGAGAAGAAAAGGATGGTTTGAAGCGGTGAGGTACTTGTTGTAGCAGCTCTTGAGGCGGATTAACATTGTATCCGAATTTTCAACGAACTCAACAGCCCAACGTGCGTTCTTGGAGGAGCCGTTCCGGTCTTGGGTAATTGATTCTTCATCTTCCTCGGCGGTTAAGTACTTGTCATGGTGGCTGCGGAGGCGCACAGCTGTGGCGTTGTGGAAGAGATCCATTGCAGTCCGTGAGTTCAGAGGGCTCTTCTTTGACTTTTTGAGTTAACAAAAAGGAAAAGCAACGCGTTTTGATGAGTTTTTGAGAAAAAGCAAATGTAAATTGAGCAAATGAGGTGGACTCTGTGAGGTCGTTTCGGACAAGATAAATAGATGATGTGAGATTTGAGGTTTGTGTGTTTTTCATAGGTCACTCGTTAATGGCGTTTGGCTCATACAACACGGTTTTGCTTTAAAAAGTAGTAACAGAAAAAGGGACACAACACAAGGTTTACGGGTTTAGCTGACGCATGCATGAAGCAATCTTTGTTAAAATTGTCGTAACGTATTCTATAGTCCCCTTGATCAAAAAAAATTTATAGAATAATTTGTTTTTGATCTGATTAAGTAGAAAATTAGCTAAGGAAAAAAATGCTATAAATGATTTGAATACTCTTGATTGCAATAATCAAAAAAAAAAAAAAGTTCAATTAAGTTAATAAATTATATAAACAAATTAAATTTCAATAACATATGGTAAAAATAGTTCCCTCTAATATTTTTATTTCTCTATTTTGTTATGACCAAATCATTTGGTATTAATGAATAAAAAACACCACTAATATACTATAAATTTTACTTAAAATTTATGATAGATAATCCTCTAAAAAGAAATGTGAAGAGAAAGTGTATTAAAGAGGATCTCATTCTTTAAGTTTGGATTACCTTATCCTATAGTATTATTTAATTAATTTTCATTCTTCATATTTCTCTAAGAGTTTACTTATTTTTCTTTTTTGCTCTACTATTAGAGCAATACAAAATTTTCTCTTTACTTAATTATGATATTGGTGTGATTTGCCATGGTTCATGGGGCCAAATCGTCATTTTCATGGAGAGGGCAAACCAATAAAAAACAAGGGAATTATTATGAGGAAATTACGTTCACACCTCCCTCGAAATTTAGTGAAATTATATTCCACTGCCCATGATTTTAGAAGCTTTATTTGGACCCCAAAATTTTGACATACTTTACAGTCTTAGCCTCGGTAAAGTAAACCAAAATTAACTCAATCTGCACAAATCAAATAACTCTTTACTTTATTTTGCTATTAAAGGGTGGTATCGTACGTAAAGTCTTTCTAATAATTTTAAAATAAAATTAAAAAAAAAAAAAATTCTACAGGAACAACTGAACAAGAACAAGTGTGGAGAACTTACCTTTTTCGTAAACGACCAAGAGGAGTCGTTAGACTCTGTTGACACCGGCGAACCCAAATCCAAACCGGAAAGTTCACCGGAAACAGAAGAAAAACTCGAAATCAGCGACAAATAATCCGTCAACGTTTCATTTTCCGGCACATCCACTGTCTCCAAGTGCCACAAAATCCAACTATGTGTTGAACCACCATGAGGGCTATCATGGGTCATCGAGTTCCTCCACGGCGGTGGACCTCCGTTTCCACGTAAATAAGTCCCACAAAAAGCCCTAAGTTTCACCTGAAACCCATCTCGTATTGGCTGCCACTCGATCGACATGTCCTTCGTCTTCGCCGGAACTGTTTGAATTACCTTGTTTCCGGTCATGCCTAGAAGGAAAGGCTCTTTGGAGGCGGTGAGGTATCGGCCATGACAGCTTTTGAGACGGATAACGTGGCTGTTGCTATCGACGAACTCGACGATCCACCGAGATTTACGTGACGTGCTGTTTCGGCTCTGCCGGACTGTTTCTTGGTTATCGTCGGCGACTAGGTACTTGTCAAGATGGCTTCGAAGTTTGACAGCCTTGGCCTTATTGAAGAACTCCATAACCAATCAGTATAAACTTTAGGTGATTAGAGAGAAAGAGAGAGAGAGATTGAATCAGATAGTATAAGATTATTTAAGTCTAGTTTAATACAAAGGTCTAAGGAATAAAAGAGGGCCTTGTCCATGGTATTTGTTTTCTTACCCCGTGTGTGTGTGCGCGTGTATAGAGAGAGAGAGAGAGAGAGAGAGAAGAGAAAATGAGAAGGGGGGGTAGTAAGCAATGAGATGATAATAAAGAAGAAACAAATATCTAGCAGTATAATTGGTAGTTGATTTTACACCATATATATGGTCATGTTTTGGTGTCTATAAATAAATAAATAGAAAATAAGCGGGGTTTGAAAAGCTTAGGGTTATATAATGACTATGATATTATGTTATTAGATAATGTCACCAAATTAGATTAAAAAATATTTTTAATTTTAAAAAAATTTAGTTAAGTTACGTATAAACTCTCATAAACATTCTTGACCCGTTGAAAATGAAAAAAATGGTGACTATATAGGTGTGAATAAATGTCCATGGAGGACCAAGATGGCATAATGCGAAGATAAATGTGGTTGACCATAAAACTTCGAGGTGGGCATCATGGTCCAAATCATAATCCACGCGTTTAAAGATTGTACAAATTGTACTAAATCTTTTTTTTTTTTAATTATTGTCTGGGAGTTTAATTAGTGGCCACTCATGCCAATACTCCTCTTTTAACCCAACTATTTTTCTTGACCAAGAAAAAAAAAAAACCCAAATATTTTGCATAGTAAAAGTTGGTAATTGAGCCAAGTTTTGAGAA